GTATTAGTGTGTTTGGAGTGTGTATATTTTGGAGTTGAGAATTTAAGCTGGGATGTAGAGGGTTTAATTTGGAGTCTGGGAGTGTCGGGTTTGAGATGAGCTGGGAGACTGGATACAGTTTGTTTTAGATAGTTTTATCTTTAGAAAGAAAAGGACAAGGCATGATTGAGGGATAGGGATCGGGGAGGAGGGTCAGAGTCGGGGCGAGTCAGAAAGGTGACATATTGTAGGGCGAGCTGCGGATTTGGAGGAAGCCAGCAAAGTGATCAAGGATTTGCTGTCGGTCAAGGCGCCTACAACTGTTAGGCGAGGGCCCCAGTTGGGCAAGGGGATAGGTCGGGACTAGGCAAGGACTGGGCTAGGGGTTGGAATTTGGAACTGGGGTTGAGGGGGCCAGGGCGTGGAACTTGAAACTGGAGCTGAGCGGGCCAGGGTGTAGCGTCGGACTGGGTTTGCGGGATATTGTTTTAATTTTTTAAATGTTTTTTAGTTTTCCGAATTCAAGTTTGGTGATCAAGCTCCGGGAATTGGGAGTTTAGGGGAAAAAGGAGTTCGGGGGTTGAGGGGCTTCTTGTGAGTTTTAAGTTAATTTTTTTATTTTTTTTAAAATTTCATTTCTTTATATTTTTAGTTTTTTTATCATGAGAGAATTTTGAGAGTTTTTTTAGTCAGAAATCCTTGGTTTAGATTTTTAGAGGGGTTAGGTTCTAGAATAGTTGGTTAGTGAAAAAGGTTGGAGTTGGAATGTGATATAGATAAGTATAAGGAGAGTTTTACTTAGGAAACTTGAACTTATTTTCACAAAGCCTAAGTATGATCATAAATGCATAGAGGCTTATATGAAAGAAAGTTTATGTGAACTTGTTTCACTTAATATCACTAAAGGAAGTTGATTTTATGGGATACCAAATATTGGCTCATTCTTGAAGTTCATTTAAATTTTGATCAATCTAGTTGCAGCGAGGAACCTGGTGTTTTCTTGAGGCAAACTCTCGCTACTCAACACCGCCTTGCACCCTTCTCCTTCTAAATATGCATCTTATGCTAGTACTTTTAACTTTTAGTCCATTGAGGTAGTCTTGGAGTTCAAGACCACTGGTCAGAATGTAATAATTGTTGGTATGACATGATCAAAATTGACATCAAATGATATGGCTTTGGTGTGTAATACTTCTTCAATTGTAATATATATTTTTTATATTGGTATAAGTGCTACATCTTCTTAACTGTGTTGGTATGTATAGGATTGGTAGATTATAGGACTTGTATGTGAAAATTATGGTAGATTAGAGAATTAAGCAAGATTAGTATATTTCTGAGTTTCATATGAAATTTACATTTCATGCAACTTCAAAATTTTAATTTTGATATTAGTGAAGACCATATGAATATTATATGAGATTCAATGCTTCTTTTTCTCTAATATTGATACTAGTTCAATATCATTTATTTGCAAATATAATTTCAATGTCATTTTAGCATCATAATAATGTTGTACCCTTGGTAAGAATAACACCTATCATTAGATGTTGCACCTTACATTAGAATAACACCTTAGTTTTCTACTGGTTCCTCAAAATGAGACCCAATGTTCCATTAGAAAATAAAAAGGTCTAGTAAATTTCATATGAAGTTGATATAAAAACATCAAAGTGGAAATTTTGAATACTACCTTGATGCAAGGTTCATATGAAACTCACATATACATAAAATTAGTGTGGATTTCCAAATATTAATGTGGATCTAATATTCCCGAAACTTACATACATATTATGGAACTCCACACTAATTTTATGTTTATGTGAGTTTCATATGAAACTTGCATCAAGGATGGGATTAAATTTCCTTTCTGATGTTGATGAATTTCATATCAACTTCATATGAAATTCATAGACCTTTTTCCTCTGATGTATGTCTAGCAAACTCTGGAATTAGGGACATTGCAGCCACAAGGCTTCTACAATACATTGTTTTAGGTGGAGATTTTGTGACCTTGAACTATTAAAAATGAATACATTTTTAGTTTTTCAAGTAGAAACATGAGTTGGGAACACAGATTTGCAAAAATAATGTTCATAAGCTTTCACGATTTCAAACTGAAGAGATATTAGATGAGAGAGGTCAAAACTGGTGGTGAAAAGTTCTCTCCTGGGGGGGTTAGCAGCCAAGGTGAGCGGTGACTCTCCAGCTCTCGTTTCACAGCTTCTCTGCACGGTGACTCTCAACTTGGTTTGCATTACATCTTGGTGAGCCGATCTTGTCATGAGCAGACGATGTCTACAACATCATTTGAGTTTTGCTGTATAGCTAGTTTCAATGGTGGCATCCTGTGTTTATCTGATGTCGGAGGAGATTATCATTAGTCATGCGCGAATTCAGAGCATCCTTGGATTTCTGTACTATTTGTTCTCATTGTGCCCTTACTTGGTGCGCATCTCACATACACACATAGCCTCACATGTGCAAGGTGATCTCAATCCTCACACACTTCAAGGCTATTCTGAATATCCAACACAAACAGTTCAAACTCTCAGCTTGAAACCCCCTCAATTGGCTGCACATCAATCGATCACATAATCTTCCTGCAACCAGCTTGACACGACCACGTTTGCACGATTTCACTCAGTTGCCGCAGCCCTTGCACATACACAACTAGGGTATTTACTGCAACTCTTATTTCTTCATGTGGGTTATGGCTGAAGACAGAATCTGTCAAGACAAGATGTGTAGTAGGCTCTGTGAATATGTAACTCAGGTGACCTTGTATGATAATGATAATGGTTAGTAGCTAAGTTTTCTGTAGAGCTGGCTCAGTTGGTCAATTGATTGAATGTTGCATTCAAGAGGCAGTTCAGTTGTTACTGCGAACGTCCTGGGTGTCGAGAGTACAATGACGATCTGCAATCGATTAGGAGGAAGAGCAGTGCGGAGAAGAAATTCAGCTCCTGTTTGCGGCGTTGAATACAAACCCTGATTGTGGCAAAGAAGTGTGACGTCGTTCCGCAAAGGTGAGGTTAATGACGAGATCGAAAGCCTTTATCCAGTGTTCAGACAATTTGCTAAAGCTAGCTCACCTTCCACTCTTCGGCAACAGCACTAATTTTTCATCTTTCTGTTTGAAAATCCTGTTTCAAAAGAGTGAATGCGCTTCTAAATGTTAAACTACGATTCAGCTTATCTAGAAAAGAAAAAATCGATTTGCAATCGATCGAGAGGAAGAGAAGCGAAGAGAAGAGATTAAGCTTAAATTTCATCGGAAAACCTCGCGTGAGAGGACGCTAGCGGCGATGAGCGGTCGAGTGTGGTCAGGTGAGCGGTAATACCCACGTTTACCACTATTCTTCTTTGACTACCGGAACACAGCTCAAAAGCAGTGGGACAAAACTCTGATCTTAGTGCTTGGTGGCACGAGTTGTCTTTTAAAGTCTTACTTCAAAGTTTTCCGAAATGTAAACGATTTCAAGCATCGTAAAATGTTTCCCGCCTGTCTGTTGCTCATTTCGCACTAAATCTATATGCGAGCTTCCGTTTGAAGCGAGTGCAAATTGGATATGTCTTCTCCTAGAGCATATCGATTATAATATTTATACACACATGTCTAGCCAAACCCAGTCTGGACAATCAGTGGGTCCATGCAGGATGGGAGGTGTAACTTATTGCATTTATTGGGGAGAGTTTTGTACATGGCAGCTATTGCATCTCTGAATCCTCTTCTGATTCCTCAAGCTGCTAAGGTAACAATATTTCCAGGATCTGAATCTTCTGTTATACAGTACGCCTTATATCTGCACTTATTGCTTGCTCTTTCCGGTGTTCATCTCCATCATTGTACCAATTTCGCTGCTCCTTTCGCTAGTTCTTGGTGCCGTGCAGTTTCTTTAAAAGCTGCAACAATCAGTATTTTGTTTGGGAAGCTTGAACCTGCAAGCAAGGATCCACTACAATCGTGATGTTGAGAGCTAGAAATGTTTCTAAAACATAAACATTGTAGTGGCTGTGAAAAAACCTCATTATTGTATCGTAGTTCAAATAGATGACCAACACTTAAGACAGATAAAACATATTAAGGCGACTATCAAAGGAACTTGGTTCACATGTTGGATTACACTTCAGGCACGTCTTTGTGTGCGCAGTTACTACTCATGTGAATGTGAAAGGAGTGGAGCAATAGAGATGTACGGAAATACTACTACCTGGTATTGACGATGTCCCTTTTTCAGCAAATAGCCAGCAACATTTAACTTGATAAGTGAATCCACATCCAGAACTTGGAGGCAGATTTGATCTACAATACTGAATAACTCCTGCCAAAACGAAAAGGATGAGATAAAGGACAGGATTGAAGGATGGAAGTAATCCAATATGTAAATTACAGTTATTAAAATAAAGATTATTCAAAAAGCAGGTTCACTTTCGCTTACTGCTGTCGAGAACAAATTCCTCTCTGCTGCAGCTTTGCCCTGAAGAAGCTCAAAAATCGCTTGCCCTCTTTCTGTTGACTCATGCCACCCTAGCCAGTGGGTAGGGAGAACCTCTCAATGTCTTTAAATTGATGAGGAATAACGCACTTACACTTGGGACACGAGAAGTCCCGACTGGTGACAAGCGTTTTCACGACACTCATCCTTACACAGTTCCTCCCACTGAAATTAGCTTCCCTATGATATTGAGATTTTCCGGTAAATAATAAGATAACCTTATCTTTAAGATTCCGTCTGAATTCTCTTCATTGCATAATTACCTACGTGGTCGTTTTGAACCACGGAAAATTTTGTAAGACGAGACCATAATGAACTTTTACGCCAGGAAGATTACTTATAGATGATGCTTTCAAAAGTTCAGTGCAAGCAAAGACTCCGGATGATTATGCAGCCTGACGGTGATCCTCTCCGGACTTACCACCTGCTCGCCTCTGCAAAATAAAGCATGCAATTTATGATATCAATAATGCTTGTCTTTATTACATGAGTCACCACTGCGTTCCTACACAATGCTAGCGACGAGATTTAGAGCATAGACTCCAGGAGGCCACGAAGAATAGACCTCAATCACTGCAATTGCATCAACTTATTATCAATAATAGTAAAATAGTGATTGAGTGGTGTTGTCAGTGGCCTACTGGAGAATCTGCTCTTAAATTGGCAGCGCTTGAGCTGGTCTACAGTAAGTTCATTTTCAAGTTTCTGCTGAAACTTGTATGAGAAAGCAATAACATTAGATCAATGAAAGGACTAATTGCTCCATTAATCATCATCTTACGGGAATAGGCAAAATCATTCTCAAACTAGATCTCTTTATTATCTCATGTTCCTGTTCTTTCAATCCAATCCTCAACATCACTCTTGACTTTGTGTCAGGCTTCAGATGTACGGGCTTGCACCAAATTAGCTTTGCACAAGTCCCTCATTTGAAGGACTTGAAGCCCACCGGCAAACAAATGTTGGACAAGTCAATAATGTCAAAAATGTTGAACAAGTCCAAGGATTTGAAGGACTTGATAGTCCACCGGCAAACGATACGTACCAATATCCAATATCACCTGTGAACGCAATTCCATGGCATACACTATTGTAAAAAAACTGGAAATAAGGAGGTTAGGTACAAGTTAACCTACATTCATTGACATTCTCCAATGAATCTGCTTTGCTTTGCTACGCACGGCTCGTAAAGACTGGAACATAAATATCTCCTAACTCCATTCTGACACGTAAAACCGAGCTCCGACAGCAACGATCCAGACCTCAAATTGAGACACAAAAATTGAAGCCAAAATAACAAGGAATGCAAATCTGAGCAATTTTCTGACAGTCTACTAGAAGCCAACATTTCCTACACTATCTGATAGAACAAACAAAGATATCTAATAGTTCATTTCCGATACTATCTTGTCTTGATTGTGTGCATAGTCAGAAGTACTTAATTAAGAATCCAAAATATCATTTGCACAACCTCATACTCAAATAATTAACTCCGAAGTAAAAGAAACAGAAGGTAATGAACAATTCAATCATACCTTGGCTGATACGATCTGCTTGGCAGCACTGGTCTGGAAAAAGTCTAGCAAACTCTTGATAAGCATTGCTCTCCTATCCTCAATCTGGAACTCCTCTCCAGGAAAATACTCCAAGTTCCACAACAGCGGAATATCAGGTGAGTGAGGAGAAGACGCCTTCTCCACCTCCAACTCCATCATTCCACAAGAAGCGCAAACAAAGAGCGCGAAGCGGAAAATCGCACGTCAACGTCTCCCCGATTCAACCAACAGCCATTCCTTCATAACCAACATCAACTCCAAATGCTCTAACAACTTAAATCCACCAGCGTCGACTCTATGTTCTTCAGGAGTTATGCAAAAGAACCGGATGGAAAGTGCAACCTTAAAGTTTGCTCTGAGTTGAACAGATTACGATTGTGCAGCATCATGCTCTGCAATCTAAACGATGTTGGTGCCCCTTGCAACCCGAGTGAGATGCCCACACAAGAAAGCTTTGATCTGCGGGCCGAGGTCGAGTCTGCCTTGAGGCATTAATCATTAGAAAGTAGTTATAATGATGGTAATAGCTGGCCATGAGTGCGTGATCTACAGACACTTTGATACTTTTCCATATACTCACGCAAAATTTGATAAAATGATTATTGCGGCGGTCTGTCACATCAAAGCCTATCCTGCTAATATGTGTGAAGAAGCTTTTTGCCGTAGGAGCTCGGTTAAGCTTTCCAACATAAAAGGTCTGCGAGTTTCCGTAGCCATTACATGCTTGAGCAGCTCAAGAGCAGCTCCATCCACAGTTCGGCATTTAAATTTTTTTTTTTTCTGGAAATAAGAGAACCGGGATTCAATTGCGAGAAGAAAATAGTGTACACCCGAAACCAGTTACGGTAACAGGGAAACGAACCGTCACTCACTCACTATCCTCACAGACTAACCCATCCCCTCCCCCCCGATCATGATGAAACTTGCCCCAGGTGACTTTCAGCTCCACTCGCTGGCAGAGAAACAGATGCTTAGCCCAAACAGAATCAAACAGATCTAGTTGTTTCTGTTGCTCTTTTTCGGGCTTATGTTTGCTCTGGGAAACCTTCATCCAACCAGCTCTACCATATCCTACCAAGCTAGCCCAGATCACTGGCGCGACTTTTTCCGGAGACCATCTAACCTGATTGAGCACAGTCATTTCTTGCAATCCACAGGATCCACATACTAATGCCTCACAAGAGATTCCAAATCGTAGTGACTTCAGAAAAACGGTTAGGCAGCCGGTGGTCAAGATGGCGTAGCGAAAGTTGAACTTGCTACGCGGTAGGGCTGTATCCGAGGATTGAAGTTGATACAGAATGGAAAGGACAAAACTCCACGCATGAGTAACCCTGAGGGCAAGCTCAGAAGCGATGAAGCACAGACTCCTCAGCTCCAAGCTCGCACACAAGACAAGCAGCATCAAGAGCATTAAGGATCTTCCGTCTCCACACATTCACAGCCACGGCCCGGTGCCAAACTTGCCATGTCAAGCCAGCTTCCTTACTAGCACGATTGGAATCCCATACCGCTTTCCACTTGAACCTGCAGTTAGCCAGTAGTGTACAGTTCGGCATTTTCATATTTCTGCAACTTAAGGTAAAGTGCAGCTCTGTTCCAGGCAGAAGAAACCAACCACTGAGCTTCGTCTTGTGGATAGACATTGTTACCTAACCCCGAGAGAATTTGTTGTGCGTGCTTGTAGAGGTCAAGTACCTGAAACAAATTCACATCACAAGTTCAACAACCAGGCTTTACTAAAATAAGCAACTTGATTCGGCAGAGTTTTACGCTCCTTTTATGCTCCTGGGACTGACCACTAGGAGAATAGAGGACGGAGAATTAGTGCTTGCGTCTGGGCCATCTTTGCAGCGCCTATTTGCGAGGTTAATCATCTTTCTGATGACCGCAGCAGCTACTTTGTAATCAGCATTTGGATCACTAAGTGTTAGGGTCAGGCACATGCGGAATGAGGCTGTTGCAACTTCCATAACAGGCTCTTTTCTCTTGATACAGGTCTCAAGGTCCATCTTGAAGAAGTGTTTAGCTGTGAACCCTGGCATGCTGCTGCATCATTTCAAAATATTGAGCTGTTCTGCATCTTCTCTTGCTCGTCCTTTGAGTTCGAAGAGTAGCAGATTCAGGCAGATGTCATAGTTTTCGTCGATTACGATCCAAGAGTCCAGCATGGCAACAAGTGTCTTGTATACTTACAGGAAATGAAGATAAGTAAATCCACTGAAATTCTGAAGTCATCCACCTAAGACGAAGACAAGGTAGCTAGGGGTGTGTGATAGAACGCACCTTCTGACATTTATCCAAGTAGTTTGTTGCAATATGTGTCACCTCGTTCTTGTTCACATCAACTGCTGCCAGCAAAGCCGATACAGAGTAGCAAAGCTGCTTGTACAAATTGGAGGCTGCCGAGGGATTTGGGAGCACAGAGTATAAGGTTGAAGAAATCGCATAAAACTCAGCACAAGACTTTCAGTCTTGTTCACTATCACATTCCATGGCCTGGTTCCAAGATGCACCGGAAAACCATTTAGCTTCTCGTTCCCCTTTGCTCCCGGCACCAAAGAATTTCTCGTAACCTACGTCTTGCAGCCGCTTCTGTGCGCTCTTGAAGTGCTTTAATATGTCATTGTGTTTGTTGCTTTCGTAGACCAGTAGTAGGATGAGGTTTCTGAAAACGACTCCTCCTGTGGCCATGATTTGTCCCGAAGAGTATAAGCTTAGCCCGCTGCAGAGTGCAGCAGCGCAACTGTAATCATTTTGCAAGCTATTGCCTAGTGGCATGCAAGATTCAGGAACTCGGATTCAAAGTCGAGGCATTTCAACATCCTCTCAACTTGCTTGCAAGCCTCTGTTTCATTTCATGCTTGCAATGCGATTTTGAACTGCATAAACAAGTGTCTACATCAGCTGAATCTGTACGAGGAGATATATTGCTATGCAAAGGAGATTTCAGCGAGGATAATCAGAACGCGTGCCTTTCAAAATATGATCCTAACACTATCAAAAGGACGAGGAATAGTGTACCTTAAGGAATATGGTGGCAATACAGGAATCGATCTGGCAATGAAGATCACTGGAAGTGAGGACGTCAGTGAGAGAATGCAAGGTTCGGTGAAGATCTATGTTTATAGTATGCTGTGCTGCAACTAACTAGGAGGATGTGGCCCTTGCTTACTAATACCTGATAAACTGCTCCAGGTCGACATGGCCTCTGGTTTAAACGTCGTTGATAAAAATTGACATTGGTGAATACAGATTGGAAAAAGTCTGAACACATTCTCCAGATGTTGATTGGGAGACCTAGGCATTAGATTCTTTACCTTCTCCGCTCTATCGAGAACCTCGGTAGCACGAATTGAGAGAGAGCCATGTGGCAAAGACAAAGAACGCTAGTTTTCCCTCTTGAAAATCATCTTCTATTTTCTGACTCTTGTTCCGTATTCTCATATCCCTGACAGATATCAGTTTCACGTTCATTTTATTGAAACTATTTTTGAAGGTGTAGGAATGTCATAGCTTCATGGGGATATAATTTCTTCCCTCATTTGGACATTTGGAGATAAAATTATGAAAATTTAGGAATTTTGGTTATGGTTAGATCAGTTTAGATTTGCACACACATTACATGCACACTTTGCAAAAATCGGATCATGATTTGGAGTTATGGAACTCTTGGAAAATGTAGGGATACATTGCCAAATACACCAAAAACACTCAAATACAATGAACATCTACAAATACGATGCTGCATACTATGTGGTATTTCTTACACATGAAAAATAATTTTGGTCAAAAAATTTGATTTAAATTTGTCTTCAAAAGATTCTTCATTGTTTTATGACTGCTGATCTCTCTCATCACATACAAAACTTCCATTATGATCCATACAAATTTTGGTACATCTATGTATACAATCAAGTAGAAGGGAGTTGAAAATTTATCAAAAATCATGCATGCATGTTTACTTCACTATGTTGTGAATCAATGCAAAGCTACCAACTTAGTGCATGTCTGAACCACGTCAATCTAAAGTACAAAATTTCCAATACGATTCTATTCTTGGTAAAGTAGCACACCCTCTAGAATCTCCAATTTTCACTATCAATATACAATAACTTTGAACACTATAATCGCTTTCATGAACCATTGGATGTTCTCCAAATTTTCCTCAAAGTTTAGGACACGGGATAAGTTCAATTCTATACGATTTTAGATACTAAAATTGGACATTCTATTTTCATTAGAAATTACTCAAAGAAAAAAATCAGCATAAATCCTGACATTGCCAAAAAGTGCCTTGGTAGGTAAAGGGTTAACTTCAATAGACAAGTTCTCAAACACAAAAATGCAGTGCTCCTCCATTAATTTAACAACAATCTACATCCTCGACAATACCTGCTACAATATCCCTGACCTTAAAAGCTCACCAATTACAGAGGCAATCAAAGACCGGACCATGAACATGAGGATTTGGTGCACGGATTTAAGAGCGCACGGATCTAAGAGCAGAACAGGTGGCCTCACGTCGGTAGACCCCACACGGTATGCAAACTCGGCAAGCAAAAGACAGCCTCAAGAGTAAATTGAATGATTCTCACGACCCATCCTACACCTCCAGACATGAAGAATGCACATTCTCAATCTTCAGAGAATGGGTACGGTAGCCCTTTTTTCATGGGAAAGGTGCAACGATGGGTGTGACTACCCCTAGTGGTTACTGCACCATCATGTAATTACTTCGCCGCATGTAGCAAATCTCACTAATAACGATGTTGGAAATTGGTGCCAAAAATTGAATGTAGTGTATGCCCTGATGAGCACTCTCGGACGAAGATGTATGACGGAAGTAGATGGGTGACGGTAATTAGATATATGAAAACAGTATATGTCGACTCTAATTAGATAATGTACGAGAGTAGTAGATCTAGTCATGGTCGACATATACTGTGGTCGTACATCTAATTATCGTCGAGAGCAATAGATGTGTCCACGGTTTTGAGATCCTGCTCTATCACCGCGTCCTCTCACTCCTCTCGCTCTCGACTCGCGCCCTTTTCTTATGAAAATCGAACTTGTTTCTTGTTTCTTGTCCGTCTTTTGCTGTGACAGATTCGTGGTGTGGAGATGGTTTTCCGTGGATTTAGGTGAGCTCAGCGCAGGACGTCCTCCTTTCAATTTCTGGCCGATCCATGTCTCGTCGTTTTCGGTTCAGAGTTCCGTCCGCGACCTGAAACCTATCCTCTTCGTGAAGACAAAGCGATGAGCTCGTCCTATCTTCGGCGGAACTCCGGATTGAGTAGCTTACTGTTTTTTAGAGCAGCCTATTTTTTCCTTGAACTGCTAAGTCTTTTGTTGCGGATTTGCGAGTAAGGATGGTCGCCATGGCTGCGTTGCTGGCGCTCAGCGCGTCTCTTCCGTCGAGGATCACAGTGACATCCGCGGCGTCGACTTTCTTCAGGAGCGGCCAGTACGCAATGACTCTGCCGACGCCTTCCTTGCGCGCGGGCCGTTCGCGTCGGTTCGCTGCTCTCGGTATGAGATCGTCCTTAATGTGACGGTTGCTGTGGTTGAGGCTTTTTTGAGGTCCTTTGGTGCACTGTGTTAGTCCTTAGTTCATATTGAAAGAATGGCATCATGAATTGAGTTTGCGACAGAGAGTGTGCACACATTGATAGTTCTTGAGGTTCTCTGTTGCTGTCGCTTGTTCTGGTTTTTTCTTTTTTTGATCTCTAACATTTTGTAGTTTCGTATGTTAATTAGTTGGAAAATCATGAACTTAAGAGTTCAGTGATCAGGAGCAAATTTCTGTCTACTGTTTCGTGATCGCTCCTCCGTCGATCAGTTCGTCGTTGACTCTTAGGGTGTAGTGCACTGAGTAGAGATTGCCTGTCCGAGTACCCTTCGCGGCAGGTCTTTGTTTTCTGTTTTGAGGGGTTGGAAAGGGCAGTCATCGATCGTCAGAGCCGGGACTGAATGTTCTCTTTTGTAGTGACTACCTGTTCAAGCTCCTGCTGATTGGAGACTCAGGTCGTGGAAAGAGTTGCCTTCTGTTACGATTTGCGGTAAGTAATTAAAGTTGTAGCAGTGTTGTCCTCGGAAGACTTGCTCGGCTAATCTGGAGCGCGTGATTGTTTTGGAAAGTCTGTTATTTTTGAGTTCTGTAAAAACTCCTTGAGAATGCTTCATCTTTAATCTATCCCAGAAATTATGACTTCGTGTTTTGGTTGAAATGTGAGCGTGCGGCGGGTTGAGAGGGAGGTTTTCTTTTGGATTTGAGCGTCTGGTGCAAATTGGATGCGCTTGAGATGGTTGTGTGAGGACAGTGAGAGTGATCGTGAGCGAGTATGGGCGAAGGTTTCGAATGGTATTCAGATGCGCGGAAGGAGCCGTCCTTTTCTGAACATGAACCTCGCTCACTCTCTGAAGTCAGATTCTCATTCTCGAAGTTCGGCATTTCCCCTTTGAAGTTTATTTAATGGTCTATGTGAATTCGTACAGTATCAGCCATTTTTCTATCTTGCTCTGTAGTATGCATAGATGAATTGTATATTTGTGTTAACACTACTTCCAGCAAACAATTTTATTAGAATATTTTTGGATACGTGTGTCCAAAACAGCCGTGACCCTAACAAGGTTCAACCAACAAGGACCTGGCAATGATCGGTCCCAAGTTTTGCTAGTCAAGCCGATAAGAAGCAGAAGCTAGAGGGAGGGAGGCTTCGGCAGGTGTTTACTCGAATATTGTAATGGATTTGCGATTCTGAATGAGTAATCCTAGTCGTATGGATTGTTTTTCTGCTTGACATTGCTCAATTCTGTTGTATTTAACTGTATGCAGATACCTTATATGAAAGATCGATTGCCGAGATATAAAAATCCTCCGACGTTGACAGTAGCTCACGAGTTCCATCTTCGAACTGAAGAAAGGGCGCTTACTCACCAACGAGATCCAATCAAGGTTTGCTTTTATGTGTGTAGCAATTTTCTATTTCTTATAGAGATGATGCCTCGTTCTCGTTTTTAATTCTTGAGATTTACACATTTACCCTAAACCTGACAATTTTCATCGGCAAAACAAACCTAATAACCTATGAGTATTCTGACATGTGTTCCTCGTCCTTGCATTCACGTTTGCAACTAACAGAAAAGCTCTTCAACTCATACACACCCTTACAAAAAAAAGAAGCGAAGAGCATGTAATCGCACCTGAAAACGAGAACGGGCCTATGAGAAAGAACGTCGTCTGGGGTTTCAAGGCTGAGAAGCAAATCCTGCAGATTGAAACCACATCCAACCATCCATCACATCAGTATGCCAAGAAGCGCAACACGTTCCTCAACAGAATGCTTCACCAAACTTGCGCAACACTATCTCCAGTGCACAACTACTATGAAACATCGCTGTTTTTGGAGCTCCTTCGCTATGAAATCCAAGCCCATGAAAGCCATTAACCCTTAAACGTCAGAAGGTGCCACTGGTGGCCACAATGTTCTACGTGTATGGTGTCGTATTTGAACATGATAAGGTTCAGATATTGAAATGCCACCTCTAATTGAAAGAAAGTTGTTAGTTGAAGAATCTTCAATCCAAAGGTGGAAGTCGCTTCCGCGATCCATCATTCAGACTAGAACTAGGTGAGCCTCTTCAGAAACTACACTAGCTTAACACAATCCCAGGCTGCTCAGTACGTTTCTAGCAATCATCTGGCATGGTGTAACGTTCCTCCGAGCAGCTGAGAGCACCAGCAGGGGCCCGGAAAAGAACGAAAACAATAACGACGTCAACGCCGGTCGAGTGGAGACTCAGTTCAGGTGAATTTTGAATAGACAATCTGAATCATTCCAAGGAACTCATGTGGCCAAAGTGGGAAACTAGAAGGAGATGCATTCCCCGCCCGAATAAAGAATTCTTGCTATATCTTGCAGCGACGACGATGAGCATTGGGAGCAGAACTGGAGCCATGTTGGTAGCTTATGATGATATGTCCAAGGCCATGAGTGATGGGGTGTTTGGTGCGTGGACCGCTGAAACTAAACCAAATGAGGCTCTTCGAAGATGCTCTTCGGCATTTTCCACCTGTCTCCTCGCTTGCTTGGAACCTGCGAGTCCGTCAATTCTGCACGGAACACCTGCATCTGTAACCGGCCACGAATCAGCATTGCTCCAGAATTGGGATAATCGACTAGTGCCACCGCTCCTCACTGCTCACGATGAGGGCAGCCAGTGTTGCCGTCATACTTCTGCAGCAATTTCACACGATCGTTCCACTCGGTGATCTGACCTCGTCTGGAAGAAATTCCTCATCAGGAGTGCCCATTTCCCAGTTCGCCTGGACTGTGAACCCAAGTACCTCTTCTCCAGTCTAAGAAGGACCCCACTAAGAGACTTCGCCATGGCAAGATCGGGAGGTTGCTTCGAGGACCGAAGATACAAGTGACTCCATCGACATTCGGTCCACGAGCAGTGTTACGGCCGCCAACAGATGCGCCGCCAACAATGTGTCCTGCGTTCGTGTCAGCGATTCTTCTAGATGCAGCAAGATTGAGCGTAGTGAGTGCTAAATGATTATCGAGTGCTTCACTACCAAGCATGAGCTACAACCGTGTGATCCAATAGCGCTCGCATTCAAGGAATGAGCCAGTAGTTGGAGAAGAAAACAACGACTCAGAAATGCGTTCCTACAAAAGTTCGTCCCTCCAACTCCAATCGCAGTGAACACAGTTTCTTCTACTCTGATTGAACAGGGAAGTGTCACTTAAGTGAGGTCGATAGGCTGCTGTCTTCCCTGCTCAGAGGCCTTCTGCTGTCACAGTACCGTTAACTGCTCCAACTCTGCAATGGCACCCAGTCACTGGGGAATGACCACGTCAGATATGTCCCGTCAAAATGCGCTGAAAATGGCGACCAAAGGGTATATACTCGGAGCAAGAACCTAGATGCACCCGAGCTTCGAAGGCCACAAGGGATTGTCCATGCAAAGAGGGGAGGGAGGTCGATTCACATCCGCGTCGTCTCCGTCTAGAGTGTAGCAGTGACCAACGTCTCCAATCTTCTCTCTGTCTGCTCTGAGGTCCGCCCTTCATGAATTTCTCCAATTCTTTCAGATCTCGTACCACCTGCCTCTGCAGACCCCTTCAGCATCTGGATTCTCTCAAAATATTCTTGCAACATGGTGGAGTTACACTGGACGTCTCTTTCAGTACGGTCAACCTCCATGCAATATCGAAGGGAACCTTTACGTTTCCTGTATGCCGAACCAAGGGTCGACCGGAATGCCAGCTCCAGCTACTGTCTGCTTTTGACCTTTCCCCAACACGTTCTGCAGAGCCAATCCTAGCTCCAGCGATGACCATGCTGCTAAGCAAATCAACCGGTACAATACTTCTGCTATGCCTGTTTACCTGCAACACTCCAGTAACTCGAACCTCTCAAACATGCCCAAGATTCCCACGTCATCCTCGGGACATCGAAAACTGAGAATTGGTCATACGCAACGTACAGGCACTGCAAGTCCCAGAAAATCCTCATCCGAAACCTCATAGGCATTGAACACGAATGTCTGCACAAGTAGGACAATGGTTCATTCCCTGGCCGAGGTGTGTGTGGACAAACGGACGGAGGTGAACATACCGCTCCAGGTTGAGCCTCAGATCAACGTAGTACACACCCTGAACACGCAAGCGAGGAGCTCCCTACAAAATTTTAACTTCGAAGACAATGTCGACATAGAATTCCTCGAACCAACCTCCATATCAACCAGAAACGCCTCCCCTTGATCCAATTCCAAGATAATAAAAGCCACACGACAATCACCGCTTCACTCATCAGCATCTCGCCACGCAGTCTCCACCAAAGAAGGCATCACACAAGAACCCTAGCAAATCCTATCAAGAAAGCAGAGCTCTACACGCCCACAACAGGCACCCCATCGAAGCGAATGAACAAGCATCGTACATTCATCAGCACAATGGAAGAGGGAAGGACTAAACTCACTTGCAAATCCAAGTTTCCAGAATCTCGAAGAGAGACCACACCATCTGATAGAGCAGATTCAAGTCTCTCAAAACAAAAATCTCAATACTCTCAATGCTGAAATCACATGTTGGAGGCGTACTGACGATACATTTGATGGCACAATAGGTGAGCAAATACGCTGTAAATCAATAGCTACACAATATCAAAACCACCTAGTGCTAATTGCACCCCTCTCCTCGAAAGAACCCGAGAGAGAAAAGAAACCAACTCAAAAGGAAGCAACAGTCTTGTCATTGTTATCAAGTGTACCAAGCTGAGCGGGAAGGAACTTGCAGGAAAGGTAACTCAGTTTTACTGTCCCTGCGTGGTATAGCTCAGAAGGCACCAAGGACAGGGATATGCAACCGCAGGCAGCTATTGAACCCAAACGTCTCAGCGTAAACAGTTTCAAACATCTCAGCAGCTGCAGGATCTGTAACCAGAAACACCTGCTTTGCAACGGTGGCCATGAAGCTGACTGCCTTCAACGTAGCTGCCTCATGCTTACTGATCGTGTCCATGGAGCCTGTACCCCTCCCGCTTAACCTTAAACCTAATATGAGCATCTTTAAGCCCTGGGATGGATGTAACCGGCAGCAAGAAATATGCAGCAAGGCTCCCACCCAATCATCTGCAAAGAGGATTCGGAATCTGTGCATAAACATGAGCAGGGTCTGTAAACATGAGCAGAGTTTGTGAACGCTCAAAGTTCCCTCAGGCCTCAAAAGTTTAGGCATCAACAGCTCTACTGATTTGTTTTCCATTTTGATAATTCTTTTTACCACTTACCACGTTACAATTGTATTCTTCATCACAAGGCTCTGAATTCAAATCCAGGAAATGCCTAACTTCTGCAAGACTGCATCAGGTTTTAAAAATTGAATCTTGCACACCAGACGCACCAACTTTATACAATAGCTCATCTTCAGCAAATTATCGTCCAGCTGCACTTTTCCCACCCCAACTCTCATCATTTCTTCCAAGACGCGCTGCAACTTCCTGAGCTCTGCCTTCTGTGAATTCCTATTGCTGCTGCACCGCGCGAAGCCAAAATCCACAAGGTGGACAGAAGGCTGTGTACCCCGCACAACTATAATATTCCGTGCCTCAACATACATTAGCCACCTCCCCAGTCACTATTGCTGAGAACCAAAAACAACACATTGAAGAGTAAATAGATACATACTTTGGCGTTGTGGACCACCAAAGATATTGTTCCAGCATCATGACACAGCAGCACGCGAACCTTCGGATCAGTAGAGGAGGACGACCACACTCCGCACTTGCTGGTTTCAAGAGCTTATTACTTAGCAGGTCTGAGTGGACTGCCATCGATCAACTCTATTGCTACATAAACAATCTGGCAATGAGCTGTGGTTCCATATCCTACTAATGGGTGGACAAAAACCCCCCAATGCTCCTGTAGCTTCAGATAGGCGCCCACCTCGTTCAATAGAGTCTGTACAAGCACGGCCAGAAGACGGTACAAAGAGAGCAAGATCAAAAGCCCGTAGGGTGTGGCATACTGCACATGCATTTTAACAGAGCAACGCTCCACGTTGCATCTAGCAAAGACTGCTGCTATGAAAGCAATCGCTGACACGACCACTCTTAAATCAGACCCGGATTAGACCAATTAGTAGCCAACTTTTAAATAGGCACGCAACATTTCGATATGATCCAACTCCAGCTCACCTCTGCTCGTTCCGACTTGGGAGAGCAAACTTCACAACAACACGACGACCATTCATGTGGCCACCAACCACGCAGCCGCTCCATCCCTCATTGGTGATGGGGTGGTCTCCTAGATGAAGGTTGGATGCAAAAATCTCCTGCAATTGCTTCTGCCTCCTATTTAGCATGCCTCTCGAGTCCTGTACATAAGCTTGCCACCATTCCACCGTTTGTTCTCTTCTATCTATCCCAAAAAACATGGCAATGTTTAGGTAACTGGCTTGACAGGTTACCTAGTTGAAGATGTTTCAAAACTACCCAAAAAAAATTTATGCGGATGGTAGTTAGGGTCCTCATCTTCATCATCTTTAGAACCACCACCGGGACTGGTAGAAGGAGTCGCCTCCCAATTCCAGGAACGCTCACCATCACTGGGTGAAACATCAAACTCACCACTGGTGTCCACGGCAGTATTGATCAAATACTCAATTGCAGCATGTAAAGGTAGTTTCTTGTCACCCCACTTGAAAACCACTGAGACATAAAGGCGGCCGGTATGATCTCTTTTGAAGAGATACCAGCTCTGGATATCGGTGAGAACGCCATACCCAACCTTCGCCGTACAACTCAACAAGAAAGCAGATAGCATAAGGACCACCTCACTCTGTAATCATCAGCTTCTGATTGGAGTATCAAACTTATGTAAGACAATTCCTCGTGAGTACCAGGATTTGAAATTACTGAGCACGAAGATCTCCTTATATCTCAAGAAGATTTGCTTTCACAACATTTTGCACAAAATGTTGTGATGATTTTGCGCAGGTTTTAGGTTTAGGTTTTAGGGTTAGGTTTTAGGGTTTAGCAAGCAAGAGGAGGTCTCCAAGAAATAAAGAAGATCAAGAGGAACAAAATCTTGAGAAGGTGCCTTCTTCTACTCGTCCTGGAGACACACCATTACCAAAAGAGTGGTGGGAGAAAGACAAAATGAAGGAAAAGGATGATTCTAACAAAGCTAAAGGTAAAACTCCTACCTATAAGCTTCAATCTGATATAGAGTCATCAACAGATATGAAGAGTATTTTAGAGGAGAAGATCTTGGATGCAAAGATTGAATTCACTCTAAGAGAGGCTCTTGGTATTGCCAAGAGGGATTTCCATGAGCTGATTATCAATGTGATAAAGAGAAAGAGGCAGATGACAACTGAAGCTATTATGGTGGAAGCATTGGACACTTGGGTAACTGTGGATGAAGAAAAAGAGATAGGGTAGGTATTTGCACAATTTGCAATGCCAAAAGTTGGAAGTAAGATTGATATAGAAGACAAGGATTCACTTAAATAAGTTGGAGTTATAAAAGAGCATCAAGTGGAATATACATTTGATGAATCTACTGTAAAAAAAGAGATTGTACAAGAAGCATGTGTAAACACTTGTTCTAAATGTGATAATGATGGAATGGGAAATAGTAGCTATTCAGTTCCTTATTGGGCTAGAGCTACTACAGAGGCATATGTGAGATTGGGAGATTTTCAAGATCCAACTTTGGCCTTAGTTGATCATGGATCTGAAATCAATATTATGCCAAGGCGGATATATGAGAAGAATAAATGGCCAATTGACATCAACCATGGTTGGGTAATTAGAGCAGCAAATAATCAACAAGGTAATTTATATGGAGCTTGTCCAGCTATAAAGACCAAGATTGGAGATGTGGAGGTGGAACAAAATTCCTTCGTACAAAATTCTGCTACATATCCAGTAATATTTGGTCAGCCCTATATTACTGCTGCTAGAATGGAGACTAGAATCTTGGATGATGGTTCACATTATGCCAAGATTTGTAGTTGAGATGGAAAAAAAGCTGTATAATTTATTACTGTGAAACCTATTCATGACAGGCACATGGAGCAATTAAGAGGGATGCTTTTGGAGCCAAGAAACAATTTTGTAGATTTCTAGAGAGCACTTCAATTGGATGGAGACACATGGGTGCAAATGAATCATCTATAAATCCCAGTGTAGATAATATGAGTTTTGGATTTTTAAACTTGACTAGTAATGGATTTGTGAGTGTTCAAAAGATCAAAGATTTAGATTTTGTAAATAAAAGAAGGGTGAAGAAATAAGAGAAAAACTTAAAAAGAGTGGGTTTAGTTTCAAGTGATGAAGCCATAGTTGGAATGATAGAAGAAGTGGATTTTGAAGAGGATTTGATAGAGGTTTTGGAGGATTTGGCTGTAAGCATGGATGGAGATGCCATTGTAGAGTTACACTCAAGGGGAACTTATAAGGAGTTAGAAAAGATAGTAGCAAATGGTGGACTTGCTACAAGCTATGGGTTGAAACAAGAGGCTAAAGTACAAACTAAATATAAAACTATCACGGCCATAATCATATAAGCTAATAATTACATATAAAAATAGGTAGAAGTAACTAAAAGTAGGTAAAAGTAAGTTAGTTCTATAGTATTTAATATAGAAGCTTCCTAGAAACTTCATAGATGCTGCTTTGACTTCATAGGTGTCTTTAATTGACTTTTTGGATTAGAAACGTGGTCAACAAGTTGGCCATGTGCCACACATGTTGTTAGCTTGAAGATCAAGCTAACTATGTGGCCCACACATAGAAAAACTTGCCTTGTAAGTCAAAGCATGTATCCTACAAAGTCAACACATATTGGAGGTCCTATAGAACGTTGCCACGTAGCCCGTAGTTAGATAGTATATATAGAGATAAGAGTGAAGGCTTCTTCATTCTTGTCAACTCCTTTTGTGCTTCTAGTCAGGTTCAAGAGTCTCTAGTTTCTTGTCTTGTGGCAACAGCCATTCGAGTTTCTTTTTAATATACATATTTGTTTATATTTTGACTTATTATATTGAGAGAGACTTTTTGTGTATATTTTTTTTCATGGAGTCTTTGTCCTTGACAGATTGACAAGAATACACTTACAATATCAGAGCTTTGTTTTTCTTGAGTAAGAGTGGATTACCCCTTTCTCTTGACAAGACATAAGCGTATTAGAAGTTTGCGGATTATCCACTTCTAAACTGATATTGTTCTTAGTATCTTCTTTGTTATCAAGTCTTTTCTTTTTCTTTTGTCTTGAGCAATATCAGACAAATTTTTCTTCTTAGTATGATTATGGCAGAGCTTGTTGAAATGAAGAATGCAATGGCACAAATGCAAGAACAATTGAGGGAGTTAATGCTTGCGATGCATCAACTCAATTCACCAACACAAGAAAGAACAAGAATAACAGAAAGTGGAGATATAGAGATGATCGGAGCTGCTTCAACATTTGCACCAAATCACATTCCTTTTCCAATTGTACAACACCTTGTAAGCACTAGAGAACCAAGAATTACTTTACCCGAGAAATTTGATGGTACAAGATCAAAGTTTTGAGGATTCATCAATCAAGTACAATTGGCAATTGAACTTTAACCGCAAAGCTATCCAACTCCAGGATCATAAGTCAAGTTTATTGGCACTCTACTCTCTGATTCTGCATTATCGTGGTTTTCGTCTTTTCTTGAACAACAAAATCCAATATTGGATAATTTGGAAGCTTTTTTGGTGGAGTTTCGATCTATGTATGGTGAACACGATGCAACTCGTGTTGCAACAAACAAGATCCGAATTTTGCGACAAGGAAACCGCTTAGTAACAAAGAAATTGATGCTCAACTTACTTGATTCTCAAACTTTGAGTAAAGCAATCGATTTTGCGGTAAAATGTGACAATCGACTTTTTGAATTTCGATCCGAGAGTTGTACATGGGAACCTCAACATTATTACTCAATGGCAACATCAGCATCTTCGCCAAACGTACATTCAAAAGTAGAAGACATGTAAATTGACGGGGTACGTTTTAAACTCCTAATTGAGAAAGAAAAGATTCGTCGTCGTCAAGAAGGATTATGTTTATATTGCGGAGAACCTAAGCACACTGCTCAACATTGTCCAAAGAAACAATGCAACTATAAAATGAGGGGTACGGTGGTCAAAGAAGACAACATGTCAGAAAATGGATTCGTCCAACTACAATAGGGACCATGCAGCTGGAACCTTGTACAATTCCTAATGAAGGTCCTATCCTCTCCTCAGAACCCTCTCCTTATTTTATAATAGACTTATATTTAGGACCTAAGAATTACAAAGCCTTTGCTTTATTAGATTCGGGAGCCTCAACGTGTTTTTTAGATGAACAATTTGTTAAAAGTCGTAAAATACCTTTTGTACAAAAAACTAAACCCGTACATGTAGAAGTCATTGATGGCCGTCCTTTGTCTTCTTGAGATGTCACTCATGAAACTCGCCCTATAAAAGTAACAATAAACGGTCATGATAGCTACATAACTTTTAACATAATTAAATCTCCGTCCAATCCAGTTATTTTAGGTTTATCCTGACTAGAAAAATATAACCCTCGAATAGATTGGAATTCTCGTAAACTTGACTTTTCCCAGAGCATTATTAATAGTTCTACCAACCAAGTAAAAAGTTATAAGTCTAGTATAGTAAAACCCGTACTTATAGGTGCAAAATCATTTATACACGCAGCAAAAGAAGGATCAACTTTTGCTATTTATGCTGCACCTATTTCTGAAAGCGTAAAGACTTCAAGTGGCATTCCAAGTCAATATCAGGATTATCAAGACGTTTTTGAGAAAAAGAATGCAGATATTCTTCCTGAGCATCGCCCATATGATTGTTCAATCGACCTCAGGGAAGGAACTCAACCACCATTTGGACCAATTTACAATTTATCGCAAGATGAGTTGGCTGAACTCAAGACGTATATTGACGAGAATTTAATGAAGAATTTCATACGCCATTCAAAATCTCCAACAGGAACTCCAATTCTATTCGTAAAGAAAAAAGATGGATCTTTGCGAATGTGTGTTGACTATCGAGGACTCAACAAGATCACAATTAAGAACAAGTATCCATTACCTTTGATATCAGGATTCCTTGACCAGTTGAATCAAGCTAAGATTTATACAAAAATAGATCTAAAAGGAGCATATAATCTAGTACGAATCAAGGAAGGAGATGAATGGAAGATTGCGTTTCGAACTAGGTACGGACATTTTGAATATAATGTCATGCATTTTGGACTCACGAATGCACCAGCTGCTTTTCAACATCTCATGAATGATGTATTTTGTGAATTCTTAGACAATTTTGTTGTCTGCTATTTAGACGATATCCTGATCTATTCTAAGAACGTTGAAGAACATGAAATACATGTTCGTCAAGTATTACAAAAACTTAGAGATGCAGGATTGTATGCCAAGATGGAAAAGTGTGTATTTCACACTACTCAAGTTGACTTTTTAGGATACATCATTTCAAATGATGGTCTCATGATGGATTCTAAGAAAGTCCAGACAATCATGGATTGGAAGATTCCAAGGACAGTAAGAGATGTCCAATGTTTCTTGGAATTTGCCAATTACTATCGGATCTTCATCAAAGACTTTTCACGAGTTGTAGCTCCACTTACACGCTTGACCAATAAAAAAAAATTCCAATAGAATCAAGAAGCGGAAGCAGCATTTGAAGCCTTGAAGACATTGTTTGTCTCTGCACCAGTCTTATATCGTGTTGACTTTTCCAAAGCATTTTTTATAGAAACAGACGCATCGGATTTTGCCTTGGATGCAGTTTTGTCACAAATGGGAACAGATGACAAACTTCATCCGATAGCTTTTCATTCAAGAAAATTCTCAGTAGCCAAGATCAATTATGAGATCCACGATAAAGAATTGCTTGCAATTGTAGATTCCT